CAATCCCTTACCTCAGTCAGCAATTAGGATTAAACACTAAAAGGAATTCACAAGTTCAACTAAACCTGAACAAACTAACTAAACTAGATACTGATTACTAACTAAACTAAGCTAACCAATCAACTAATACAAGATTAACAGTTAACCAAAACAAAACCAAACAAAGCTCAAGCAAGATCAAATAACAGATTATCTACACTAATGAAAGCAAAAATCATATCGACTAATGGACTTAAATCATACATGAAGCAAAACTAAAATGTAAGCTAATATGCTTGACCCTAATTTCAAATCATTATCATGGATAAAAGACAAGTAAACGGAAATAAAAGAAATCCTCATACTGAACACAGGCCAATTAACAGACAAATGAAGAATGCGGGCAAATCCTAAATTAACTTAATCGAGAAGAGATAACAATCGATAACAAAGGTGAATGAACCAGAAGACATTACCTATGGAGCCCGAACTAGAGGCCGGAGAAAAAACGATTCGAGCCTCGGAATAACGTAATCGTTTGTTCTTACCAAAGAACAAATGAACACGTTATTTCGTGACTCGAATCCAACGCAGAACTCAGGGAATCCAAAAAAACTGAGCAAACCCAAATTCCTAGAATTCTGCCATCGCCATGATTTAGATTCGAACAGTTCCGCTAACATTTGAGAGAAACCAATGAGGATTTAGGGATGATAGAGGTCGGAGAAGGGTAGGGTGTGAATTTGGACGAGTTTGGATGATTTAGGGTTTTCACCGGAGATTTCGATCTAAGATTTGAGAAGATCGGCTAGGATTTGAGGGATGGGATTTGGGTATTTGGAAAGAGGAGGGGACAGGGATTCAATGGTGTAATTTTGGGGTCCATTGGAGCATCGCCGCCGCCGGCGACGATTTCCGGCCGGCGGAGATGGGAGGAGGACGGTGGGGTAACGCCGGCGTTACAGGGAGTACGAGGAGGGTGAGGGATGTTTTAGGGTTTTGGGTATAATTTTGGACACTTTTATCTGAATTGAAGGATCAATCCAGGCCGTTGGATTTGAGGGGATGGACGGTCATGATTAAACGACGTCAAACGACGTCGTTTTGAGTATGGGGCAATTGGACCGGGCAGGGCGTTCGGGCCAGTGGTTTGGTCCGGTTTTGAATGACTTTTGGGCTTAAAATTGAATTTTGGCCCAAAATTTGGTCTTTTATCAAGACCATTCTTTTATTTTATTTTTACTCTTTTCTTTTGTTAGCCTTTTGTATTTACTTATTATTTTTTCTGATTTTATAAAATGTTAAAACAAAACAAAGACCTAATTAATCTATTTAACTCCTAAAATTATTTAAAATTCTATTTAAAGATAAATGCAACAATTAACAATTAAACGTGTAAAGAACTATTTTTTGCAATTTTCTTTAACTTTGTTCTAAAACTAACTAATACTAAAATTGTGACATTAAATCCCTAAATGCAAATGCCTATTTGTATTTTCATATGAATAAAACGCAACCAATTAACACAAAAATGTAGCAAAAAATTCACAAAAATTGTAAAATAATAGAGAAATCAATTATTTGAGACTTTTGGAAATAGTTTGCTTAGGGCAAAAATCTCGTGCTCACAATACACAGTAACCCCCATATTATTCCTAATCTACATTGGAGGATAATTCTCATTCACAATGTATTTGATTTCTACAATTTTTTCTGAAGTATCAATCATTAATTGCTCTGCAATTGTAGAAATCAACATACTGTAACTTGCATCCTCATTGAGCACAATGCCATCAACTTGAAAATCTCTAAATCTGTCATAGCTATCCCAATTGCCATTAAAATGTAGCATTATTGGGATTTTGGACATGACTGCGTGACGTTGGTGAGGTATTCTTCAATTTTTCGTCAATTTTTTGTTTTTTTGGATTGACAGAAAAAGATGAAGAATAGAATTTTACAGAAAAAGACGAAGAACAGAGCTTCTGAGATTTGTAGAACTAATTTCTACAATTTGAAATTGAGCTTCTGATTTCGACGAACTGAGAATTTGAGTTTCTGATTTCTGATTTCAACGCACTGACAATGAGAGAATATCGAAGGATTTCCGTTATATGATTTGATCTGATTAACCCAAATCTTTTTAGAATATTCTTCTCCTGTATTTTAGCGCCACAATTAGGAAGCTTCAGCTCCTATTAATGAGTATTTAATGATTGGTATATTAACCGTAGAAAAAATATGGACAGGGCGGGTAATTTAGAAACTGTGCACATTTTTGGTAATAAAGTTTCATATATGTTATAGGAAGGAAAAAATCTCTAAAGATGAACATGTTGGTCCGAAAAATTGGTACTTGTCCTAGACGGGCCCGGCCCCAGTGCCGAGTGCCGCTAAGTCCAATGCACATGATGCAAATAAAGCGTAGCCTACTAGGGAAATTCATTGCTTGTGGCTTGTTCTTCTAAGTTTTCAAATCCTAAAGGAGATGGTATCTAGACCTGGCTTACTCAGGTGGACAACC